TTTGGGACTTCAAAGGGCTGGGAGACAAGTCACATGGAGATAGAAAAGCAGCTCTTTGGTAAATACACGTTTTCTGGGCCACCTTTAACAATGGGACGCAGAGAGGACTTTGATCAGATGCGTCTTACTAGGTTCTTCCTACTTAGTTCATCTCGAGCTATAGTTACCTGTGATGAGACCTCCCCTCCTGAGGCAGGTCCTGTCTAAATTCTTAGAGGCAGTTAGGGGGAAGGCCAAAAGTTTGTTTTGTTTTTCCTGAGATTTTTATTTGTTGAAAATAACCAGCGTAAAATAATCAGTACCCCAACAGGCACAATTTGGGGTACCAAACTCTGCTCCCCCTCACTGGCATGTCTAGAAACTGGTAATGCCAGCTGGGCTTTTTATAACTCCGATACAGACAGAAATGATAAGTTCATGCCTGACGCAGGAGTAATGCATCTAGGATAGTTCTTAGGCACATCAGCTGAATATAGGAGTCTTTAACTCCCCCTTATATTTTCATTTTAGTTCTTTTACAAAGCTCCCTCATCTGGCGGGAACAGAACAAAATTTACTGCTTGCCAAGGAAATCCAAACCCAGTGGAAGAAATTTGGACTGGACTCGGCCAAGTTGGTTCACTATGATGTTCTCCTGTCTTACCCCAATGAGACAAATGCCAACTACATCTCAATCATAGACGAACAAGGAATGGAGGTGATGTAGCATTGTTGGTATTTCTCATACTTTACATCTCCACCTTTTCATGCGAATTGGAATTCAGGGTCAAGTAAAAATAAAATTTTTAATAGTGCAATGGAACTCATTTTCTAGAAAAGTTAGGAAGCTGCAAACTAATTATGCAGTGTTTACTATGTGTCAGGCACAGTGCTAGGTCCTGAGGCCAGAATGAAGACTCGGCCATGCTTCCTTTGCTTAAATAAGGCGAGGGAGTCATGAGAACACATCCTTTCAAATCAGCGTAGTAAGTGCTTTGAAGAGTGTGATTGGTTTGTCTACATCGAAAAGGGTCACTTGGCCCAGCGTCGACACAAAAACATCCAAACCTGTAGAGAATTTTTGTAAGAGTTTATTTGAGCCAGACCGATGGCGTATACCGGGTTGCAGCTTTTTGTGCATTTGAAATGAAGGAGGGCATGTGAGGAAGATTACATGAAGGTGTGAGCAAAGAAAGTGAGGATTGAATTACAGAATAATTAACAAAATTATGTGCTCTCTTGAGGGTGGTTATTTCAAAGGTATGTTAACCTAGAGGCACAGAAACAACGGGCAGGGTTTGAGTAAGGCAAAGATAAACCTTTTACTAAAAAGTTATATGCCTATTTTTACAAAAGACAGTTATGGAGAAATAGGTAAATGAACAGTGTATTTCAGTGGAATAATAAACTTTTTTAAAGAAACAAAAATGTTATATGTCTAGGGTGTGACTACCCACCGTGACCTGCCCAGTCAGGAGTTTATGATTAGATCACTCTGTGAGGTTACCGTCCATAGAACCCCCTTTTTTGTCCACACCACCCTGTACGTCCGAAAAGTCTTCCTGAAAGAGTTGATATGTGAGTCATGAAAGATTCGAAAGGGCGAATTACATGAAAAAGCAAAATAAGAGAATTCTAGGCAGAAGAGAAAATATTGGCAAAGCTTGGAGACATACTAGTTTAGTATTACTTAGAATTTAATGATTTTCTGTATTTCAAGAGTGTAAAATACAAAGTGAGCCGTGATAAGAGAAATCAGTATATAGTGACTCTTGAACAACATGGGGTGAGGACCACTGACCACCAATCCGTGTATAACTTGTGACTCCTTCAAAACTTTACTAACAGCCTACTGTTGACTGGAAGCCTTACTGATAACATAAACAATGAACACATTTTGTATGTTATCTGTATTAGATACTATATTCTTACAATAAACTAGAAAAAAAAGAAAATGTTACTAAGAAAATCATGAGAAAATACATTTATAGTATTGTACCTATTTACTGAAAAAAAATCCACATGTAAGTGGACCTTGCAGTTCAGACCTGTGTTGTTCAAGGGTCAGCTGGATATATTTCGGGGACAGGTCGTAGAAGGGCTTATCCACTGGCCTGAGGAGCTAGGAATTCACCGTCGTCAGTGGAAACCACTGACGAGTCCTAAGCAGCGGGAGGAAAGGATGTGGCCAGAGCGGCGTTGCAGGGGGCCCGGCCGGCTGCAGGCCAGGCCTGGGCGCGGCAGGGAGGGCAAGCTGGAGGCGAAGGATGGCGAAGCCCTGAATTGGGACGTTAGGGGATCGAGGACGGGGGCAGATGGGAGAAATAGCTAGGAAGCGGCACTGGCAGGACTTGATGAGTGATCGCAGGAGGGAGGG